TGTGTGTGTGTGTGTGTGTGTGTGTGTGTGTGTGTGTTTTTCAAGTTCCATGATAATTGAGTTAGAATTCTGATGGGGATTTCCACCAGTCTACAATTTGCTTTTGATGGTATGGCAATTTTCACAATATTATTTCCTATCAACCCAGGAGCATGGGAGGTTCTTTGCATCTTCCAGTATCTTCTTCAATTACTTTCTTTGCTATCATACAGTTTTTTATTTTATAAATCTATCTTTCACTTCTTTAGTTAGATTTATTCCAAGATATTTTCTAGGCTACTATAATTGGGATTGTTTGCCTAATTTCTTTATCATTATGTTTGTCATTTGTGTATAGGAAAGCTACTAATTTTCACATGTTAACTTTGTATGCCTGCTACTTCACTGAATAATTTATCAACTGTAGAAGTTTCCAGACCCTGGAACGAGGATGTCAGTTTGGAGATCTGAGCAATCTATGGGGCCTCTGGTAGTGGATCACTATTTCTGGCATACGAATGGACTTTGGGAACCCACTCCACATAGAGGGATACTATCTCAACCTAGACACATGGGGGAGGGTCTAGGCCCTCCTCCAAATGATATGACAGACTTTGAAGATACCCCGTGGAAGGCCTCACCCTCCTGGAGAGCAGAAAGGGGTTGGGATAAGAGGGTGGGAGGGACAGGGAAGGAGGGGAGGGAGAGGGAACTGGAATTGACATGTAAAAGAAGCTTGTTTCTAATTTAAAATTGGTCTAATTACAAATATAAAAATTATAAAAGAAGTTTCCTGGTGGAGTACGTAGTTACTTTTATAGAGAGAATTATATTATCTGCATATAGGGGTAATTTGACATATTTTTCTATTTGTGCTCCTTTATCTCTTTCATTTATTGGTCTAGCTAACTCTTCAAACAATATATTGAAAAGAATAAAGAAAGTGAATATTCTTGTATTATTCCTTATTTTAGTAGAAATTCTTTTGAGTTTTTCTCCATTTAACGTGATTTTGGTGGTGTGATTCCTGCACATTGTCATTAATATAATGAATATTCCCCTGAGTACCTAGATCCTCTAGGACTTTTATTATAAGATGATTTTGGATTTTTGGATTTTTGGATTTTGGATTTTTGGATCTTCATCTAATCAAATCCTTTGATTTCCGAAAAACAGTATAAAATGCCTTGTAGTAATGGATCAATTAGCTTGAAATGCACTTTTTATAAAACATGTCCTCTGCTATCCTTTGCTTTTCAAAGAAAAGCGAGTTCTCCCAGCAATCTTGTTTATATAAATGGCCACAAAGTGATTAGATAAAGAGTGTAATTAAATGCCTTGCTTCCCCCCCCCCCCCCGAGGCTAATGGAGGTGATCTGTCTTCCTTATGCGAGTGCCCATGGCTGTCTTCTGGAAAGCATAATTTGGTAGAACTCCCTTCAGCGATGTCACTAATTTTAGTTCCTAGGCTACAGATGCTGTCCCTTTGCCTCAGCAGTTATTAATAGTCCCCTCCTTTGT